TTTTTTGCTTGTAATTTTTTTTTTGTCAAAATGGGCTGTCATTTTTTTTATTATTTAATTGGGAACCGTCCAGGCAACCAGTTCCATTTTACCCTAATCCTGGTCATTGACAAAAAACCATTGAATCAGTTAATGACCTACTGACCTGAGTGATCGAACCGTTATCCCGTTGACATGTTCAATGGTTTTGACCGTTTTTTATTTTTTAATTTTTGTTGTCAGAATGGGCCGTCCGTTCGAACCGGATAGTCAAACCATCAACTCGAAAACTGGTGGCCAGAACGGTTCCATTTTCGGGTCGTATGAATCACACGCTCGAATGATATAACATCATGGTTTTTAAAACTGACCTAGAGACTGAATTGGTCAGGGGTCTAGTTATTAGGTTGAACCGTCCGATCATTCGAACTGGACGGTCGAATCGTCGACCCAAAAAGCGGTGGCTAGAATGGTTCCATTTTCGGGTCGTATGAATCACACACTCGAATGACATAGCATCATGGTTTTTAAAACCGACGCGGAGACTGAACCGGTCAGGGGTCCGGTTACTGGGTCGAACGGTTGGCCGTTTTGACAAAACTGTTCGAACGATTCGATATAATAACTATTATATATTTGTATAATTAGATAATTATAATTATAATATTTATAATTATATATAATAACTATTATATATTTATCTAACAATATTTATATAATTAATTGGAAATGGAATTAACAATATTTATAATAACTATTATATATTTATATAATTAGATAATTATATAACAATATCGTTTAATTAGATAATTACATCCCAATCCAATTAATATATATATTTTGTAGATGAAGCAATACATTTTAATTTTCAAGAGGTTAATTACTTTTTAATATTACTTGAGAGATGAGACCATGGAAAATGTATAGACACTTCTTTCCCGGTCTCTCCTAAATGGAGCAAACTTCTTGTTCCTACCAAATGTGGGACAAAGAAAATAATATGTGAAATTACGAAGCACAATGTGTAGTAAAACACTTCGTGTTTTGATGGAAACACTAAGGCCTTGTGTTTACCACCCGAGTGAGTCTTTTAGTCTTTTACCCCTAGGTAAGTGAATCTGTCTTCTTTTTAATTCAATCAAGTTTTCCCTATTTTTAATTTTATCCTTGTATTTTTTTATTATTTATTTAATGAACATTTTTGTCTCGTTAAATTTTAACATTTTTTTTCAGCTAAAAAATTACTTATTCACTTAAGAACAGAGAAAGAATTATTCGAATAAATGACCAAAAACATTATTCGACCATCGCCCAGGATTAAGGCTACTGCAAACTAGTGGGGCTTAACGAGTAACTTGAGTCATGAAATAAGGTTAAAGGGCCCGAAATTAAAGCAGCTCGTCTAATTTTAAAATTGGGTTATTCACGTTGAGGTCATTATCTTACTACCCCAGGAATTGAATTGGAAATAAAAAAAAAAACTTATTCTCAAGTCTCAACTCGAGTTTCTTTCGTATTGAGCATTCATCTCTGGCCAAATTTTATCAAAACCGTCCCAAAGCTAATTAGCCTGGCTATTAGATAGAAAAAGGCGACCCAAAATCATTAACCCTATCAGGTATCTCTACTGAAGAATTTAAAATAGCGAAAATTTTGGATTAGTATCTTATATTTTGGTTCAAGTGATAATTTGGTTCCCGAATTTTAAAATGTGATAATTCAATATCTGAACTTTTAAAATGTGACAATTCAATATTCAAATTTTCAAAATGTGATAATTCGATATCTGAACTTTTAAAGTGTGACAATTCAGTACCTATTGTTAATCAGCCGTTAAGTAACATTTGAAAAGTAAAAAATGTCTTAAAAATGCCATATAATTCTCTTTATCAACCATCCAAAGGTTTACAAAAAACTGAAGAGTCCCAAATCTTACTGACCTCTTCTATTCAAAAAAGTTGGTGATTGTTTAGAAGAATCTAGAATTTGGGACTATTCATTTTATTGTCAATCTTTGGATGGTTGATAAAGAGAATTAGATGGCATTCGTAAGACATTTTTGACTTTTCAAATGTCACTTAACGACTGATTAACGGACTGGTTAACGACAGTACTAGATTATCACATTTTAAAAGTTTGGGTATTGGATTGTCGCATTGTAAAGTTCGGGGACCAAATTGTCATTCGAGCCAAAGTACAGGGTAGTGATGGGGAGTTTTCCCTTTAAAATATTAAAAAAAAAGAACTAAATTCAATTGTTTAAAAACTAAAATAGAACAAACACTTCGTGACGGGATCGACTGCCCAAATAGCACATGCCCCATAGGTGTCTCACCACCATCCCCTCTGCGCATTGAGAATATCTCCTCATGACAAGCACGAGAGATGTCCCTGTGCACGGATAAAGGTGTAAATCGGGCCAGCACGGCATGGCCCGCAGGCGGCCAGTGTAAAGTGTGGGCTATCCCGAGCCGTGCTACCCTCCCCTAGGATAACTTGGGGGGTCGGCCTGGCATGGCCCACGACCCAAGCTTGTGCAGGTCTGTGTTGTGTCGTGGGCTGGGTTAATCTGTGGATCAAGCCTTGGGCCAGGCCGGGCCGTGGACTAGGCTAAAACTATTTATTTAAAAAATTTGAAAAAAACTTAATTTTTTAATTTTATATGAATTTTGATGTATATAATTGCTTATATATATACAATAATTAATTAAATTAATATAATAAAATTGAAAATAATTGTTTCTATATATATATATATGGGTCATACTGGGCCGGGCCGTAGATAGCATGGCTTGCTCGATAATACTATGCCGATCCGACCCATAAACCTAAAACCACAGTCTCAACACAACCCACATGATCATACCAAATCTAACATGACTTGTGTGCTGTCGTGCCAGATCACGGACGGCACAGCCCGATTTACACCTCTCTGCACGGAGGGGATGGGCTGTGGGCCTGTGGGGGCACGCTGTGTGGGCAGCCGATCATATCACCTGCACTTCACCCTACAATATTGGATCAACTTCCGATGCTGCTGCACTCCCCATCCCTCGACGACAAGCTAAAGGCCTAAAGGCTAAAGCTGTAAAATTTTTGAATATGAAAGTAAAACCATTGTTACTTAACAGTCAACACATCTCGATTCTTGGTGGTGTAGGTGATCTAGGTCTAGGGTAATGTGAAAGACTTTTCGGTGTTGATTCGAGTTGGACCAATAAAGTGAGTCCACGGGTGTTGCACATTAGAAGAGCGGCGGACCCACAGATGCTGGCACATGGAATGGAAGAGGTACGGCCCACGGAATCATCTAACCCCACATTATTTAATACACCGCAGGCCGATCTCAGACAGTCCAACTGTAATCCAATTCGGTAAACACTGAAACCATCTAAGCCTTCAATTTCAACGAGCCTCTGGAGATGTCTCATTCTCGTACAGTGATACTGTGATACCCAGCAGCCCACCCCCACCACCGCGTTTTGCCTGCATTATTATTCCTCCTCTTCATTATCATCATCACATCACACATACACACACTCACTCTTCTTCTTCAGGACTCAGGAGAGAGGGGGGAGAGAGATGTGCCCATTACATTTAGGCCCACCACCACTATCATCCCCTATTCAGACAGAGACCCATCTATTATTTCTCTTAAGGGTATTTTCGCCATTTAATTCCCCTCGGCAATATTAAAAACAAAAATGGCTATTTAGTAAAGCAACTCTTATAGTTTGCAATGGATTTACTTATTCTATCTTAATGTATTAAATGACAGTAAATAATGATAATTTTGATCTTAATGTTTATTTGAATAATTTTAATAAAAAATAAAAATAACTAATATTATTTTTGCCCTTATTAAAACTCAAACAACCATTTTATTTGTCTTTATTTGATTAATTTTAATATTATGATAATTTTAGAATAAACAATATTGCGCTTATATCCTAATATTTTACATTCGATTTAGGTAATCATGTTACTATTTTCCGATGGTAAAACAAATACTTATTATAGAAAAGGGTGTTTTACGAAAATAAAAAAAAATTATAAAGGATAGGTTTTAATAAATTTGTAAAGATATGAAAGGTATTATAATAAATGACCTAAACAAAAAACTTGTCATTTCCTTTCTTGAGAGTTCAGATCTGTGCCCCATAGACAGTACATTCCCCTCATGGGAACATCTTCCGATGATAGTATCAAATTAATAAATATCATAATCGCGAGATGTTCTTAATACACGGCGAAGATATGCTGTGGGACGTTGTAGAGCGCCCCTTTTGAGGGGCGCAGATGTGAACTCCTTTTTGAATGACTGCAGAGGCAGTGTTCTGCGGTCAATAAATGGGTTCATGCCTCATGGGCTGCAGCGCTGCAGTGGGGCTTGCCGGTCAAAGGTTGATTGTGAGGAGAGGCGGGGGTATTATAGTCATTGCGAAGGTTGTCCAGTCCAGCTAAGAGTTGTCGAAGACCTAAGATGTCCATTGTCCAGTCCAGTAAGCTCCAGCCAGCAAGGCAGCAAGGAAAGGGCGATCCAACAGTGTTGTGTTTTCTTTATTTTGGTGGGAATTTACATTATCGCCCCACAACTTGTCTCACAAGCGTCCCACAACGCATTCCAACCGTGTATTTAGAACATATGTCAATAACAACTTCGAAAAATATTTCTAATGCAGGCTGAGATGTATATGTGGGGCGCGCTTAATGGGGCGCTGATGTGACCTCCTATTGTGGATGGGTGGCCCAGTGGGGTCAGGAATGACGGCAAAACGAGTTGTGGTCTGTCACGGTGAGTAATGCCAGCCTAGCATTGGGGACATGATTGATGTGAGACCCACACCCGTCAGGCCGTCCTGGCATCCACATGCGACCCGAAACCCATGCACACTCTGGTCTCTATACACTCTTCCATTTTTTTTTATTTTCCTACATATTTCCACTATTTTTTATTATTTATTTATTTTTTCTTATTTCTCCTAATATATTAATACAATCATCCATCTAATTAATATAATTATATTAACCATTGACGAGTTTAGAGTTTACACTGACCAAAACCTACCATCTTCTCCTCTCTCTCTCTGTTGTCTGTGTATGTTTCATGTGGGAGAGATGGTGCTGGTGTCATTTTCATGTCTGTATGTCTGTGAAACTGCGGATGTGATGCAGCCGTTTCTAAGTGAATTTAAGTAGTAATAATTTGTATACGTGGGAGAGTGTAATTACTGGTAATTAATTTTAAATTTTAATTATTATTTCTCCTTGCACTTTTAGTAATTCTGTATTTTGATTGATTTGTTTATCGAAGATTTTTTTTCTTACTATATACAATATTGTTCAGTATTTTTCTTCTTACCATTCTTATATTTCATTTTTTTTTCTGAATTCCATATTAGTTAATGCTTATGTACTTCTTGTTTCCTTTATTTTGTTGCTGCTTCTTTGCGTTGCAGAGTCTGTTGTTATTGTTCTTGTTGCCTTTTTTCTGGGTTGGTGTTCACGGAAGGAGCAGAAGCTCATGAAGAGGCTAGTAAGTACGTTGTTTTAGTTTCCTTTATTTTTCTGAATTAGAACGTTTTTGTCTGATCAAGAAGTTTTTCAAGCCTTGGTTGTCCCGAGGTTTTTGTTTCGGTAGTGTGTAATTTGCTGGCAGGAGTGACTTTCGAAGGTGATACACTGATACTTTTCTTCTGGGTGTCCTAAATCTATTTTTAGGATTTAGAGTGGTTTCGAGGCGGTTACTGAGTTCTAAATCATGTGTGCTGTCCGGATTTTTTCGTTATTTCGGTAACAAACGGATGCTGGATTTTAAGAGTTTTCCCCTGTTTGTAATGGATGTATACTCTGCAATGTTTAGTTAATCGGTGTAGAGTCTAGATATCGTCATTTCTGGCTTTAATCGAGTTTGTCTATGTTCTATTTTTTTCTCCTTTTTTGTTGTTTTCCACTATTCACTTGTTTCTCTTTCTTGTTGCTTTGTTTTGGAATCTGATGTCGTGCTAGGTTTTGTTTTCTTGTTCATGAATACTGGCAATCAGAATGATACTTTTGGTGGTTTGTTTTTGTCTATGACATTGTCTTCCTGTTGCTGCAATCACACGTATCTATTAGTCTTCATTTTATTTTCACTTAGGTTACAAGTTCATTACTGTCTAGTTCTTCATTAATCCTATTCCCTGCTTTTATTTTTTTCTAGCCTTTTAAGTTTCATGTTCTGTTGCGCGATCAGTTGCGGATCAAAATTTCTGCTTTATAGAGTTTTCTAGCTGACTTCCCAATTCTGGATCTGGTTACCAGGAAGTTTTAGCTGAAGTTGTTCAGTGCTATCGAGTAGTGATTGTTCTGCTACTCAGTTTACTCATTCAAATTGATCGAATTTCCTCAACTCATCTATATCAATTCGTCGTTATGGATTTCAGTCACTTTTTTTTTTTTTGAACATGCTTTATTTATGCTTGTTTCTCTGAGTGGACCTCTTTTCTCATTGTCGCAGTAGTAACTGAACCTAAAACTTCGTTCAAGTTTCTTGTCTTCCTTGTTTCTTTGTCTGTTATAGTTCCCTTCTAGGAATATCTTTCACTGTTTGTCTTCCTTGTTAATTTATATTGCTTCTGCTTATTTTAGCATCCTTGTGGATGTGAGAAGGTAGAAAATGTGCTGAGAGTTGTGTCCGCAGGGTATCTCTTTTGTTTTAACTCATCTTACTTTTATTCCTTTCTCAGGTGACACTTTTCTTGCTTCTCTCTCTGTGCAATGCTGTTGAAATTGATGGAGAAGATAGTGAGGGAAAATGCAGATTAAAGAAGGCTTTGGACCCCAGACCTCACAGTGTATCTATCTTGGAATTTGGTGCGGTTGGGGATGGGAAAACACTGAACACAATTGCCTTTCAGAATGCCATCTTTTATCTAAAATCTTTTGCTGACAAAGGAGGTGCTCAGCTCTATGTGCCTCCAGGTAGATGGCTTACTGGAAGTTTCAACCTCACCAGCCACCTCACACTATTCTTGGAGAAAGGTGCCTTCATTCTTGGATCCCAGGTCCTTATCTCATCTCTAGCTTGGCACTTTTCTTTTCTTGGTCGTTATCCCTTTCTTTCAGTTGGTGAAGAAGTTTATTATATAAAAGAAGGAGATTCCTTGTACTAGAAAACTAGACGTTTTCCCTTTTGGTGAGTTAGCTTGGAATATGCAAACCCCAACCTGATCTTTAGAGCACCAAAACAATTGCAACCATCTATGTTTACAATTTCAGATATATCAATAAAAAACTCAATTCACAGAGGTGTGTATCGGGATAAACAAAAGCATTACATTTAGATGGAAATATTGGAAGAAATAAATTCTTTTGTTTTTTCCCCGTCCTTTCCTATGACCAATTTAACTCCAAAGCAGTCCTAAGGCTTCATGTTTTTGATGGCTGAGGTCCTTACTTTCAAAAGACCCAACTTTCAGCTGTGAATGCAGCTGATCCTCATGTTGAAGAATATGCTCCCTCACATTCTTGATGGTCTGCAGTAGCATGCAGCTGCACCATAAACAAAGATTCTCTATTGACATTTTTTATTGACTCCAGTAAGCATTATACCTGAGTTCTCCATAAAAACCCAACCCAATGAACACAAGTGAATGGGAGTTCTGGTAAGAGTAATATACAAGGTTGTTGAGGATCACACTAAGGACTATTGGACAACCTCTGCTGCAAAATGACAGGGGGAGGGGTCTAGAATATGATCTTTTGGAAAACAGGTTTTTCACCTTGAGAGTTGATGTTGAAAATTCTCTTGCTTCTTTCATGTGGTAAAGATAAGGCAGTAACTTCCTTGCAGATGGTAAATATCTTTGATTTATATTTTGTGAGATTTTAGACCATTAGTTTGGCAAGACAAACCCTCATTCTTTGAATAAAATTTAGCTATACGGACTTCTAGATAAGGCAATTGTGCCAATTTGTCAAAATTTTCATCCTCAATTTCTTGGAAGTCACTCTGCCTATATTCTACTTTAGGCTTTCCTTTACATCATTTGAGGGCTTGATAATTCATAAACTGTTTACCTTACTAGTAGGTACTAAACCCTTTCCTGGTAGTGCATATATTTGTGGGCCTTCCCAGTAGGCACTGAATTTGCACCCCTCAGAGATTTCTTCCTAGGAACTCAGTTGAGTTATATCACAACCTCACAAAAGAGAAAAGAAAGAAGAAACTTATGTTTAACAACAATTTTATTTTAAAATTTTCTAATGCTTCCACCATCTGCTGTGTGAAGATTGAAATGCTTGTCATGTGCAACTAGATTAACTATGGAACCAGTGGACTAGTGGTTTGGTGCAAACTTACTATGTTAGGAAGATAGGGGAAACCAGGAAAGCTGAAAGTCGACTGTTTTGATGTGGCAAGATATAGTTGAAGAATAAAGTTTAACAAAAATCATGACCCTAGATATCACCGATTGGCATAATGAGATTCATAGACGTCCCAAATAGTTGGTATTTAGGTTTCCTTAAAAGTAATTGATGATGATTATCGACATTTCTATTTATCATGAATGCCAAATTTGTCTCTTGTATCCACACAAAGAGGCAGTAAATTAGTAATGGTACTCTAGATAAGCTACCAATACATTTTCATTAGAGTATTTTCTTTATCTCTAACCTCCATTTTTCTTGTTCTTGTAGGATTCATCTCACTGGGAAGTTGTTGAACCATTACCATCATATGGTCGTGGTATTGAACTCCCAGGTGGAAGATACCACAGCTTGATAACGGGATATAGGTTGACAGATGTGGTGATAACAGGCAAATATACTTCTTAGGAATTTCTCTTGGTTTTTGTTTGATCATCCTGCTTGTTTCTATGATATAACATGCTTCTTTCATAATTAACCAGGTGATAATGGAACCATTGATGGTCAGGGTTCCATCTGGTGGGAATGGTTCAATTCTCATTCCTTAAATTACAGTCGTCCTCATCTTGTGGAATTTATTGGCTGCAATGATGTCATAGTATCAAATATTACCTTCCTGAATTCCCCTGCTTGGAGCATCCATCCAGTCTATTGCAGGTATTTGTCCATCCATTCTTGTGAGTTAACTGTCTATCTTATTCCAGAAATCTTCATTGTTTTAAATAAAATATTGAGCATATGGAATAATTTTATATTTATTTGGTGGATACCATGCAGTAATGTGCAAGTTCAAAATATAACAATCCATGCTCCACCTGAATCTCCTTACACCAGTGGTATAGTCCCAGGTTTGTGGTTATTACTATTAAATCTGAAAAAGGTTATTTATATCGTAAGATTTGTATTATCATATCTTATTTTTTTGGTAGTGGTATTATCATATCTTAGAGTTAGAGTCTTGACTCCCCCATCCCCGTTTATGTGTGTTTATTTCTTGTACCCCCCTGATTTTTTCATGGGGAGAGAATATAATCAACTTCTTTGATGGGTAAAACATAATCAACTTTAGCCACGTCAACCATATGTTTTGCTTCAATTATAATTCATTGAGTGCATAAATGACTGCTAGTTTTTCTTTTAAATTTCCAAACAACAGTTAAAGTAGACATGCGTGTTTTTGCCTTTTGAGATGCTATTTTTAAACTGATACATATGATGAGATGATTGGGTAGACAAATTTTGAAATCTTTTTGGGTTCACTCAAATTCCTTTCTAGATTCATGAAATATAATTTCATCTTTGAACCAAGTATACTATTGTGGTTGGAAGTTTGAATTTATTAGTACACACTAAAATTGGAAGAACTGATCGTTGTTGTGAATGCAAATTGGCAAACTTTTGTGGTAAAGTTTCAGACTTAGAAATTGGATAACTAGGTGTTGTAATTTATGCATACAACGTTTGGATGATTTTTAACACAGTTTTTTGTATTGGTAAATTAGACAAAAAAAAGGATGGAAACAATCACTCCATGTATGCAAACATATACTTGCATGTTATCATTAACCTATGAATACATTGTTTTGATACTACCCTGGAAAAATGAACAATGAGACCATCATCTAAACTCAGACCCTCCCTTTACAAATAAATAAATAAATAAATAAATAGGTTTTAAACATGCTTAACCTATACACCTTTCAACTATGATATAATTTGATAGGGAACAATAAGATGAAAAATTCATTACTACTTAAGACTGAAGTATCTAGTATACATGCAATATTTCTGTAACTTCTTTTTAGACTTTATTACCAATCTTTCTCCAGCATGTGTTTTTAATTTAGCGTGTCACTCTCGTTAAGATCTTGTTTTCAGGTTTTAAAGATCTGATTTTTGTGTCTAACTCATCAGATTACCATAAGTGATAGAAAAGCTATTTTATAACTTTATTGTAGGTCTTCTGAGCTGTTTGGTGAATAATAACATGACAACTTTCACATGTTTTTTAATTTAAACGGTTCACCTGCCACCAAACTTTTTAAATGAGTGGACTTATGTTCAAATATGGCTACCTGATTATATGTTATAATTTGATTTTTAAATGCAATTGTATCAAATCCACATATTCATAGAAGTTATATATCTTGTTTTTCTTCTTTGGAACTCAAAGTTATATGAAGTCTAAAGTATTGCATATTACACAAATGATATTTTCAGATTCTTCAGACAATGTGTGCATTGAGGATTGCAACATTAGCGTTGGCTATGATGCCATAGTGCTCAAGAGTGGTTGGGATGAGTATGGCATTGCTTACGGAAAACCTACAAAAGATGTCCACATTAGGAAGGTTCACCTCCGAGCTTATAGGGGTTCTGGTCTTGCATTTGGCAGTGAGATGTCTGGTGGCATTTCCAACATTGTTGTGGAGCACCTCAACCTACAAAACTCATTTACTGGTATCGGTCTTAGGACTGTTACAGGCAGAGGTGGTTATATAAAAGATGTTTTCATGTCAGATTTGGAGATGAGAGACATCTACATAGCAATTTGGGCTACTGGGCAATGGGGGTCCCATCCAGATGACAATTTTGATCCCAATGCACTCCCTGTTGTCTATGGGATTACCTTGAAGGACATTACGGGCACAAATATCACTATAGCTGGAGAATTTTCTGGAATTCAAGAATCACCCTTCACCTCTATTTGTCTTTCAAATATATCCCTCTCAATCACTTCTCATGCCTATTCCCCTTGGATTTGTTCGAGTGTTTCAGGATTCTCTGATTCAGTATCCCCTGAGCCATGTTCTGACCTCCAAAGCTCACATTCAAATTCTTCATTGGCCTGCTTTTCTCTCCTATATTTCACTGGTCAAGCTAGGGCTGGAGCTTTGTGAGATCACCTCTTCTTTCACCACCATTAGTTGTTTCAGCCCCTTGTACAATTGAGAGAAATTAAACTCTTCTTACATGTCCATCTCAAAATTGTCCTAATTCTTTTCCAATAAAATGCAGATGTTGAATCTTCAATTCCTCAGTTTTCATTTGTTTATATTCTCCAAGTTTCGGCCATACACACACTCTGAAGAAGCTTTTTAGGCCCAGCTGGCAGTTTATATCATCATATGTACAGTTTCATTTCTTCATTTATGTGTAATGAAATTTTTGGTAGTTAGTACCCAAGTTATGTGAGATTTCTAGGAATAGAGTTACTTTTTTAATTTGGTTTTAATATATGTTATCATATTGTCATTATATTGTAAATTTGCCACATTGGAGGATGGGTGGATGGACAGAGGAGATGGAGGCGTCCACAGGGAGCATGTTATTTGAATAAAGTATTGATTGTTATTCAAATTTAGAGATGGAAAAAAGGAAAATTTGTTGAAGGAGCTTGAGTTTTCTTGATCAATTATCCTGCTTCTTTTGTCCGCTCTCTCGTGTCACCATTTCATATTGTGTTTTGTCTGGACAAGAGCTCCTACTGTCTACTCTTGATATGTTCAATTCTCAATTTCAGCTTGGCACTAGTAGAATAATTTGCCAAACTCTGAGTTTAGTAGGCATCATTGTCACTTGGCAAATGCTGGCTGGTGATATGGTTGTTATTATGCTTCCAATAGAGAACCATATTCATCCTTCCAATGGTGTCTATGATTAAAGCCATGGCCCATGGGGCTCACTAATAACAAAACTATTGGCCCTTTCTTTTCTTCTCTTTTTCACCCCTTTCGGATGAAAATATGAAAAGCAATTGACATTGTACTGAAAAAGTTTTTGTACCTTCAGGTCTTATTACAGACAGCTAAATGCGTAAATCAAAATATAAACAAATCTGTTTATACTTTACAGATGATAAGAGCACCAATGTTCACCATTGGGTGTTGTGGTCAATAGGGGTAGTACAATAACGAATAAATCCTGAAGATCAGGAAAAGTATATATTTTATCAGGCTGAGAAGGATGTGATCCTTCATCTTCATGTGGCCCTGTAATAATGAATTCTGCCATTGTAGGCCACCTGGGGAAGCCGGGAGTTGGCAACTTCTTGGAGGGCCACCGGACACCCACGAGCAGCACCTGTTGTCGTGTTCTAGTTTTAAAGTATAAATTACTGGTGTGGATAGCTTGTGGTCTATGGCTGAAAAGTCATCAACTGCACAAACACATGTCCAGGGCCCAACATTTCCGTTGTCCTTTTTGTCTTGTTCTCTTTTCCTTGTTACAAGTTCATTTTCTATTGGGTCAATACCACATCCACACCACCACCCATGATGACCACCGGGTGGATTATTTGATTGAGATGAGCTAGCGTTGAAAAGAAAAATAAAAAATAAAAAATAAAAAATCCATCCTTTCTCCTTTTGACGGTGGAAGATGGATGAAAATGCCGTCTGGGTCATGTTTGACGTGGCTCTATCATATCTACCGTGAGCATTTCTCCAGTGAGATGTAAACAAAAATTGATGCGATGCGGCATCAAAGGATGAAACAGCTTTCAATCATGCCTTTTAGTCACTTTTGTTTTTTCCAGGAACCAGGAATGTATTTATTTATGTTATTTTGATTCAAAGGTAAATTAAAAATTTTTCCCCGACTGTATGTGTAGGAAAGTTATTTATTCATATGAAGATGAGTATCACTTTTGGAAACAAAATAATTTAGATATATAGGAAAAATAATGGTAGACAACAATAAAATCAACCACTTTCCTATTTACCAAATTTCAAAAAACGAACGGGCTTAGTGGAAGAAAGTTATTTATATATGGGCCGTTTGGGAGTATTCTGTACATACATATTTCCCTGCTTGTTTATTTATTTATTTATTTTATTAAAAGAATATCAATTGCAAATGCATTCTACCTCACCAATTCAGTTCACTAAATAAAAAATAAAAGGACATTCCTATGACTGCAAATGGTTCAGATCAGATTCAAATCAGGGTATATCTGGAATCTGATCTGATAGTATATATTCTTGACTTGGTCCGATCGGATCTCAAAAATGATGATTTGAATCCAAAATTATTAAAGATGTTGGATATTCAAATATAATATGATCTGATTTAAATTCTGAACAATTTAATAAATTATTAAAAGAAGGGACATAATAGTTTATATAAAAACAATATATATATATATATATACACATGCCTTTTTATAAGTAAATATGGTTACAAATATATACAAATATAGGTCGGGTTGAATCGGATAAGGGTGATCCAAATTCGATCCAATTCAATTGAGTCCTATTATTCGATCCAAAAAAAATCCGACAAAATAGGATCGGATCGTATATGATCCATTTACACCCTTAAACATTCCATCTTGTAAACATGCAAATAAAACATTTATAAGTTGTGTTTAATTGCTCGTAAAATGAGATAAAAAGTAAAAACAATTGATTTCCTCGTAAGATGATATTCAATAAGAAAATAAACGACGTTCTTAATTTCCAAGGTGAGTACAACAACATGCTCATTAGAGATTTAGAGGCCCAATGGCTTAAATTGGGGATTTAAAGGCCACATGCCCAAATGGCTTAAATGCAGGTTTCTTTAAGAAATATCGGCACATTATCAATGACTCGGTGGCGGTTCAAGCTTTTTTTTTCCACTCAGGAAAATGATTAAAGAGCTAAACAAAGCCTTCTTAGCACTAATTCCCAAAAAAAAAAAAAAACCCTGAGAAACCATTTCAGTTTAAGCCAATTAATCTCTGCAGTGTTATATATAAAGTAATAGTAAAAAATTTGGTCAACAATTGAAGCCTTTTCTAAGTAAAATTGTCTCTCCTCTTCAGTCATCAAAAATTGCTGACAATGTACTAATATCTCATGATATCTTCCACACAATGAGTAAGAAAAAGTGGAAAACAGGGGTAGTAGCTTACAAAATTGATGTAGAAAAAACTTTTGACAGATTGGAATGGGACTACTTAAAAACAGCTCTCTAAAAAATGAGATTCCATGAAAAATGGATTAGATGAATAATGGAGTGTGTCACAATTGTTAACCTTGTCATAATATCATGAATGTTTTGAATTAGATTGCAAACGCTTCAGATTAAAAACCAAAAATTCAAAATCGACAACGATTTTTTTCCAAAAATATCCCATGAAGGTTCCAAAGAATCTTAGCCAAAGCTTCGGGTATCACAAGGTCAAATATAGAAGAAATGGGAGCCCCTATTATCAAAGGGTGACAAAAAGCACCTTATGGAGCGCTTGAGAAAATTAAAAACAAATTGGAAGGGTAGAAAGAAAAGCATGTCCTTAATGCAGCCAAATCGTTAAGGGGCTAGATAGAAGAACCCAGTGGTTTTGGGAAAGAATAACTTCCACCTTAATGCAGCCAAAGCAACAAATACCCCTTTCTAACTCTCAACTAGCAAAACAGCCAAAAAGTTTACGTTGGATAAGATGGATAGCCACTTATTCCGTTATTTGGGTTGCCTTAAAGATAAATTTTGACACCTCAGTGAAAGGCATATGGGACTGGTTGTTTTGGCTGCATTATGAAGGATTCAGGGGAAAAGGTTTTGACACTCAATTGCGGAAAGATAAGTAACTCTTTAGTTGTTGTGGCAGAAATGTGGGCAACCTTTAAAACCCACAAGTTAGCTCTTCTTGGTCTAGAGAGAGTCCATCACCATTTAAGGAGATTCCCTTCTTGTCATCAACATTCTTCAAGGTTGCTCGAGAATCTCGTGGCGGTGTGGTGTTTCAAGGTAGTGAAGGAGTGCAAGCTGATAGCCCAAAGGATAGCAGGTCAAATCTCTTACTCGTACACACACAGAAGGAAATGCAGTTGCTAACTAGCTGGCCAATAAGAGCTTGGATCGGGAAGTTCTCCTCGAGTGCCCCTTGCCCTGGGAACTAAATTCACAACAAGGAGCTTTGATTGGTCAAAGCTCTTCCGGTACCATACATTTTCGGTATCATAGATTTTCCCATTTTAATAAGTTTGACTTATCATTCAGGGGTAGTTTGGTCATATAAAATATTAAAAATGTTTATATAGACAACTTTTGTTAATGATGTAACAAAAAGCTTAAGGTGATTTTTAGACAATAAAATTTCACTTCTAGAAAGCAGAAACACTCCTCCCGCCGAAAAATACACGAAAATGCGAAATAGGTAAGTAGAACTAAGGCCATGTTTGGAAATGCTTAAATTAAAAAAAAGTGCTTAAAAACAAGTGCTTATTCGAATAAGCACTTATTTGCATTTGGCACTCAACTTTTTTTTTGAAAAAGATAACACATTTCATTATATCAAAAAAGGGGAGGGATGTACATGAGGAGATGTACAAAACCTTGTCACCAAAACAAAAGACAAAGCCCACTACCCACTACAAAGGAAAAGTATAATCACTATACAAAAAAGCCCTTCCCAGCCCATATTTGTCTAGATTATCAGTCACATGATTTAATTCTCTAGGAATCCATTCGAAGCTGCATTGTAAGTAGGAGTCCAACTCCCTGATTTCTAACAACAAATGAGATAGTTTCCACGGGTCCAAAGTCTGTCCTAAAAGGTAGCAGAAATGAGAACTTCTTTGTCACGCACTAGCTTGAAGAGAGAAGGGAAGGCTTCACAGAGAGAAATGTTTCCCCACCATAGGTCTGTCTAGAATTTTATAATGTTTCCATTTCCTTCTTCCAATCTAATCAGGGTAGAAAAAGGATTTTGGGAGGAATGAGCTGGTAAGGGGAAAGAGTTGCCCCATCTCCAATTGCTTCTACCATATTTACTGCAAATTACAGAGGCCCACAGAGAGTTTTGTTTCGTTTTGAACCTCCAAAGCCACTTCCCAAGGAGAGCCTGATTTCTTTCTAAGATGTGACCCAACCCTAATCCTCCTTCTTTCCTTCCCTTGCACACAACTTTCCAATTTACTAGGTGGTAGCCTTTCTCTCCTCCTCCCTCCCATAGGAAATGTCTTTGTATTTCTTTCCAATCTATTTCTGATCTTAGCAGGAACTTTGAAGAGGGAGAGGAAGTAGGTGGGGAGATTTGAAAGTGTGGCCTTGATGAGGGTTAGTTGACCACCTTTGGAGAGATAATTTCGCTTCCAAGTGCCCAACCGTCTCTCACATTTCTCAATGATAGCATCCCAAAAACTTGTAGATCTCGGGTTTCCCCCAAGGAGGAGGCCCAAGTATGAGAAAGGGAGGAACTCCACCCTGCAACCCAAAGTTTAAGAGATAATTTCGCTTCAGCCTTGTTACTACTTCAAAACATTTCAAGATCCTTTTCAAGTTTAAGAGAAAATCTTGTTTTTTTTTTTTTCTTCAATAAAGAAAATGGTATCATCTGCATATTGATGGTGAGAAATTTGGATATTCTCTTGCCCCACCGAAAAACCTTTTATAAGATCACATTAAGCCTTTTTCATGAAGGCATCCAGAATGTCTGCTACTAAAGTAAAAAGGAGAAGGGAGAGCGGGCAGCCTTGCCTTAAGCCTCTGGATGTTTTGAAATAATCAACTGAGGAGCCATTTACTAGGATTGAGAGCCAAACCGATCTAATGCACCCTTTCATCCACTCAATCCAAACTTCCCCGAAGCATTTGAGTTCTATGATCCTCGGGAGGCAATTCCAATCAACCTTGTCATAAGCCTTCTCCATATCTATTTTGTATATAGCCCAACCTTTTCAAGTTTTTATATCAGGTGTTTGGTAGCATTTTTCTCTAATAAGCACTTAAATTAGCATTTATGACTATTTTGTCCTTCAATTTCAAATTATACCATTTGAAAGCACTTTTATTAAATTACATTTGTAAAAATACTTTTATGAAAGCACTTTTCTAAAAATACTTTTATAAAGTGCTTTCATAAAAGTACATTTATAAAAGTGTTTTTGTAAAGTACTTTCATAAAAGTATTTTTATAAAATTCAACTACGGATAATTTTATAAGTGGTATTTTAAAATTCAACTAGGAATAATTTTGGAAGAAAAAAATTGAATAAGTGCTTATTGTATAAGCACTTGAAAAAAAGTTGGAAATTTGAGCTTAAAAAATAACCCATTATTTTTAAAATAAGCACTTATTTCAGGCTTATTTCCCAATTACCAATAAATGCTTAATGACCCAAATAAGCACTTATTTTGAATAAACTCTTATTTTTAAGCATTCCCAAACATGGCCTAGTATTTCTTCTTCAAACCCTAACCGGTCATGATAAATCGGTTTAATCCAAAGGTTTTTTTTTTTGATAGATATCCAAAGATTGGGTTGTGCTAGGGTTAGGTTCTTTGAGTTTAGGGTTGGGTTGGTTGGGTTATGGTTGAGTTGTTAAGGACCTGAGGTACCTTTCCCTTGGGCTTGGCTTGGTTTTTGACCTCAACTAGATCCAACAAAGCCCGAGTTGAACCCCATACTTGGGAGAACTACTGCTATCCATTCTCCATGATAGAAGGGTTTAGGGTTTTACTAGTAGGAAAGGTAAATTTCTTAAACTACCCTTATGGTTTAGGTAATTGACTAAATGTATCCTTACTATTTGAAAATTGACTAATACTTCCTTTAAGTTAGCATCCCTTAGTAGAAAGAAGAAAAAGACTCTTTTACCCTTTATTCTTCTTCAAATATTTAAAATAAAAATGGAGATAAGGGGAAAGAGATGCTAGTTCATCAAACCCTAACCTTTCAAACCCAAAGCCCCACTCTGTGGTGAATCAAAAAGAAGAATAAAGGGTGGTGTGGAGCGGCACCCCATTGCATAAGTCTTTGCACATCACTTGTCGCTAAATCATTCTTCATAGGTGCATCCTTTTTGGTGAAGAAGGTAAGGAAAGGGAGAGAACTCGAAAGGGGGAAGTGAGAAAAACAGATCCTGTAAACACATCTCCATCTATTGCCTTTAAATCTGTGAGACGAATTTGCTTTGGAACCATTTCAAGTTCTGGACCAAAATGATTTGAAGAGCTACGTGAGGCTTGAAATTGAATTCCATCTTCGTGCACATCATTTGGCGAGAAAAGCCTCTCGCTGCTCTTGGTACCTCCCATCTCTCCCCAAAACAACAGTGGAATTTGATTCGAACTCCAATGGGTCTCACATCTCTGCACCTCTGCCTAGTGGAGATCCAAAACCTTCAGAAGCTCCTCATCTTTCTCCTCTCAAAAAATCTGCTATTAATCGGCATGGGGTTTCATCTTGCACAAACTCCATTTCAAGATAGAAGCCCATCTCCTCAAGGCAGAAACCCCTGAAAACCAAAGCCAAAGCCAGAACTTAAACTAAAGAACCTGAGGATACCGAACAAGGAGTGTCTATGAAGAAATGGATACCAGAGAGCGAAGAACCAAGAAAACATAAAGCACTTTCTAACAAGCTTTATAAAGCTCAAAAAACACTGGCCGTCCATTTCTAACTGCGAGTAATAGATGCCAGTGCCAGTGCATCAGAGCTGGTGCGCTATAGTTTAAGAAATAATGGTTCGTCTTATCTCTCATGAGAATGTAACACTGTAGAACTCAGACTCTTAGAAGAACATAAATAATGGCATCAAATTTGGGATGCATCTCTTGATCAGAATCTTAAAATGAAAAAAAAAAAACAAAAACAAAATTAACCTAATGTATATACCCGAGTATCCTAGGTTTTGTGCAATCTAGTGTCCATCTCTATTCCTCAGCAAAGTGCATTGGGAAGGATTGGGAAGAATATGCTTGATCGATCCGACCTAGTTTCAAAGGTTGCGTTTGAGTCTGTTGGGAGGTTGTTTTAGGAGTTTGATTAAAAAAGAATGAGCTGTTTAGCTGGGGATAAACTTGTTGATAGTGAGAATTAGTCAATTGTCATGTGAGAACTTGTTGACACGATCGGGAAATACAAAACAACATCAATGTCAGTGTTGGAAGTTATAATAAGGGTAAATTGGGTATTTTTGGAAGTTATAACAGTCACGTGATACACATTTGAATGGTTAATGATGGAACATTAATGATAAGGGAAGTATTAATCAATTGTTAGAAACAATAGGGGTAGCATTTGTTAATTTTCAAACAGTAAGGGTACACTTAGTCAATTAACTAAACCATAAGGGTAGTTTAAGAAATTTACCCTAGGAATTTTGAAATGAGAGGTTCCGTGGCTCTGGTGCCACTATTAACATTTCATCGTTAAAATTTGGGATTATAGCATATAAGGGAAACTTTTGGGTCCTAATATCAATAAAAGTAATATATTTAATAAAATTTAAAAAAAAGTTAACTTTTTTAAAAATAATATAAAAAAGGGGCAAAGTTATTATTCATCTTCTTCTTCTTATATATTATTCATCATAACTGCCTGCCACTGCCTCCGGCACGCCTCCACCCACCTTCGGCAACTTTGGTCTCCAGCGACCTCTGTCGCCTCTCTCTCTCTCTCTCACCTGCTCTCTCTAGAACACCCGGGCACACTTTTCTTCTGTTGGGCCTTACTTTGGTTTGTTTGGGGTTCATCAAAGACCAGGATAGAAGCTTCTCTCCTTCCTTAACAGAGGAGGAATATGTCTCATTGGTGTGGAGCTGAGTGTGTCGTCTGCATAAGCATCTCTCGCTGGGTATGGAAATGCTACACCTATGTCGGCTCCGACGACAACTCCACCTAGCCACTGTCCACCTCAGAAGAATTCGAACCCGTCCCTCGTATGTGCCACTGCATCCTCGCCGTCTACGAGGAAGACCTCCGCAATCCCAAAGTCCTTCCCAGGGATAGATGTCGTATGAACCCGGACTGGGTCGTGAAGCGCGTCACATACGAGCAGACCCAGGGCCATGCTCTGCCTTACCTCATCTACATCGACCACAACCATTGTGAAATCATTCTCGCCATTAGAGGTCTGAATCTTGTCAAGGAGAGTGATTACAAGCTCTTGTTTGATAATAAATTGGGAATGTAGATGTTCGATGGTGGGTATGTCCACCATGGGTTGTTGAAATCCGCAATTTGGTTGTTGAATCAGGAATCTGAGACGTTAAAGAAGTTGTGGGTTGATAATGGGTCATCGTATAAGATGGTCTTCGCTGGGCATTCGTTGGGCTCTAGCAACCTTCGGAGGCGGAGGCGTGCTGAAGGCAGTGGTGGGCGGCTCGGATGAATAATATAGAAGAAGAAGATGAACAATAACTTTGCCCCTTTTTGATATTATTTTTAAAAAGTTAAATTATTTTTGAATTTTATTAAATATATTACTTTTATTGATATTAGGGCTCAAAAATTACTCTTACATGCTATAATCCCTTAAAATTTTCTCACCGGATTCTTTTAAGCCCCAAAATTGACTCTTGCCACTTTCAACTTGTTAAACTTCACATCATATAATATATATGGATGAATGGATGTGCTCTCCGTCCAATAAATGGAATCTACTCATGCGAGTAGATTGGCGATCTCACGTGCATGCAATTCATGCGTGTAGATGGAAGCTAAACAAGCAACCCAATCGTGCGAGAGTCCCACGTGGGTTTTGGGTCTCCTTTCAGAGAGGTCCTTGGCCTTTCGAGTTTCCTTGTTATTGTGAAGGGAGAACAAGGAGGCCTTCCCGTTTCTTTGTCTACTTTTCGGCGACCTTCGAGGGAAGTGTAATGCGATCCGACAACCTTTGAGGAAAGTGTAATGCAACCTTCGATGGCCCTGTTTACGCTGTTGTCTGAAGGAGAGCTTGTCTCCTCTTTGAATGAAGGTCTCTTTCGTTTTGCTATCTCCTCTTCGCATAGATCTGATCGATGGCCCTATTTTTGGCCTTTCGAGTTACTAGCCATTGCGAAGGGAGAACGAAAGAGGCCTTCCCCGTTTTGCTGTCTACTTTCTAGTGACCTTCGAGGGATGTGTAATGTGATCCAGCGACCTTCGAGGGAAGTGTAATGCGACCTTTGATGGCCCTGTTTATGTTGCTGTCCGAAGGAGAACTCTGTCTCTTTCGTTTTGTTGTCTCTTCTTCGCGTAGATCTGATTGATGCTACCTATCCAATGAAAATGCAAAGTAACATTACTTTTTAGGCATTATGGAAGAAGGGGGGTGGTTAAGGTAAACTTAGTTACAAGCCCGAGAAAGGAGCAGCTATAAATTTCGCAAAACCAACATTGTGACACTTCCCTTAAGAAATCAAGTTGTAGTCCGTGAAAATGTCAATGCGAGGTGACGGTGCACGAACTGGGATGCTTAAGTTAGCAAAGGGTGCAGTTGCGAGCTTGAAAGCTTTGTGAGTAAAAGAGTTAGAGAGTTAAATCATGCATACCTTGTAATGTTAGAGGTGACCTTGTATAGGCGTGCTGCCGTATAAGGGTCTCACGGAACACATCCAAGATCCCCAACCTATACTACCTGGTCCGTTTTGCACATGGAGATGGACTTTGTATGAACTGATAAAGCTTATTGAGTCCATCCGGTGTGATCTCAAAAAGGTCAATGGCTAATTTCTAAAAGTGGGCTATATGACACCTCGGCAAGTTGGAGTACCATGAGCTGCTCAGACCTTAATTCTTGCCGAGGTGCTCGGGTTACCTAAGCTGACCTGGCCGGTCGTAACACGTGTCCGCATGCTAATGAGTCGGGCCAAATTAGCCCTCGTCACGAGGTATTCCGTCTTCGATCACGCTAGGGTTAGTGTTTATGTTTCGTCCATGTTTTAGGGTTAGGGTTACCGTTCAGATCAGAGCTTTTCCAACAATGGAATTCTTGAGTTGTTCTTGTTCCCATTGCAGGTCGTGGAGGAACGGACGGAAACAAGTTCCGCATGTCGCTTGGTCTTCCGGTGGCGGCGACGGTGAACTGCGCCGACAACACAGGTGCGAAGAATCTGTACATCATCTCCGTGAAGGGGATCAAGGGTCGTCTCAACAGATTGCCGTCGGCCTGTGTTGGTGACATGGTGATGACCACCGTGCAGAAGGGGAAGCCTGATCTCCGGAAAAAGGTCATGCCGCCATGGCGACCAAAGGACGGTGTCTACATGTACTTCGAAGGTCGGTTATTTTTCATTTTGTTCTATTGTTTTCTTTTCTTGTTATGTTTTCTGTTATATTTTTTTGTTCCCTTTCAAATGCACTGGCAAATCTAATCAAAGTTCTTTCATTTTTTTCTCCTCTTTATTGCTTTTTTCCATGAGATTTTGAGGCTTCCTGTATTCTGGATCGTAAAACTCTTTACTGGTGTTTCTGTGCTACGTGTGCTCAAAGTATTGCCTAACTCATAGCACTTTGACAGTTTACAGTTAACTGTCAAGTTAATGGCTTTTCAAATGGTGGTCCCTAATTCGTGCTGCTCTTTAAGGTTTCTGCATTGTTGATCTATAAATTATTGCTCTCTTTTACCATTTCGTGAACCACGGTGGCCGTCATGTCTCTCGCAGGCCAAAATTGTTTACCTTCTACTTGTTTCTCATTTTTGTCTCTTTCTAGTGCTGTTATTTTGCTACAAGGATCATCTGATGAGAAAACTGCAACAATATGACATCTCATGATTCGTTGTATTTAAGTCTCTGATGATCTTGTTTGATTTACTGCAACTAGAGAAATCTTTTGGTGGAACGCAACCATGCGTGCTTACTCTTTGTGGAGTGAATAACCACAACTGATCCCCTTAGCATAAGGCATTGAACCTTCTCCCTAATCTTATACCTTAGATTCTTTCCCTACTTCGTGTTGGGAACCTTGTGCTTTCTTTCCCCTTAGCACAAGGTCTCTGATGATCTTGTGCTTTCTTTCACCGATTTGTGAACCTTGGTTGCTATTATGTCTCTCGCAGGCCAAAATTGTTCACATGTTACTTGTCTATCATGATTGTCTCTTTATTTTTCTCTTAACATGCTTTTATTTTGCTACAAGGATCATCTGATGAGAAAACTGCAACAAAATGACATCTCATGATTTGTTGTATTTAAGTCTGATGATCTCTGTTTGATTTACTGTTATATTTGATTTTAAACGAATAAATATGTCGGCGGAGATGATGAAATGTTATTGGTCCGTGTTTCTGAATTAACTGTGACCGAGAAACCATTCCAACTTCTGATCTCCAGCAGATCTAAGACAAACTTTTCCTATTTTTGAAAAATTTCTCTTTTTGTATTGAAGACTGAAGAGAACATAAATGTGGCTCGGCAATTGCAAGCCTGAATTTGGCGATATATGCTATTCTGAGTATCTCAATTGACTGAGAACTAACTATTATTAGATTTGCTTATATGTGATATTATTAATGGAAGGTTTCTTCAAAGTTGCCATGGTAATCTTCCTTTTATTCTGCTACAAGGATCATCTGATGAGAAAACTGCAACCATATGACATCTCATGATTCGTTGTATTTAAGTCCCTGATGATCTTTGTGCTTGATTTACTTTTATTTATTCTATGATTTGATTTCTAAATGAATAAATTTGCGGGGGGAGATGATGAGTTCTTATTGGTCCATGTTTCTGAATTTACCGTGACTGAGAAACCATTCCAACTTCTGATCTCCAGCAGATCTAAGAAATAAGTTTCTTATTTCTGAAAAATTTCTTTCTTTTTAGTATTGAAGACTGAAGAGAACATAAATGTGGCTTTGACGATTGCAAAACTGAATTTGGCAATATATTCTATTCTATTCCGAGTATCTCAGTTGGCTGAGAACTAACTATTGTGTGAGCTGCTTCTATGTGATATATTATTAATGGAAGGTTTCTTCGAAGGTTCAATGGTAATCTTTCTTTTATTCTGCTACAAGGGTCATCTGATGAGAAAATTGCAACAATATGACATTTCATTATTTGTTGTATTTTTTCTTTGATGATTTTTGTGTTTGATTTACATTTATTTATTTTTTGATTTGATTTTTAAACGAATAAATTTGCGGGAGGAGATGATGAAGTCTTATTGGTCCGTGTTTCTGAGTTAACTGTGACTGAGAAACCATTCCAACTTCTGATCTCCTGCAGATCTAAGACAAACTTTTCCTATTTCTGAAAAATTTCTTGCTTTTTAGTATTGAGGACTGAAGAGAACATATATGTGGCTCGATGATTGCAAGCCTCAATTTGGCAGTATACGCTATTCTGAATATTTCAATTGGCTGAGAACTAATTATTATGAGAGCTGCTTCTGTGTGATATTTAATCTCCCTTTTTTGATTAGTTATTTTTAACTTTTTGTTGTTTTCCTCTGTGGTGATGAAACATGAAACTTAGCATGTTAGACTTCAGAGATTTTTTTGCCAAAAAATCCATGAGAAGAAAATGCAGTTTCTGATCAGAGATTGACAGTGGAAAGTTTCTTCCAAGGGGTTATGTTAATCTTCTTTTTTTTTGTTTAGATGTTTTTATTATTTTCCTCTGTGGTGATGAAATATGAAATTCTTCGCAAGTCAGACTTCAGAGATTTTTTCCCTAAAATCCATGAGAAGAGAATTCATTTTCTGGTCAGAGATTGACCACTATTTTCTGAGAAGAGAAGAAAATCCATCTCGTCTCATGGTTGATATGAGATTTGTGTCTTAAGCCTTTTGCTTTTGCTTTTGTTTATTTTTTTTTGCAATCTTCTATCATGCAATTAAGTCCTAAAATGCATTACTTTCCTAAATTGTTATATGCTAATCTTAAGTGGCTTGAATAGTCACAAAGCCAAATACATTCTCTAACCAGTGACCACTTTTTCTTGATAATGAGCAGGGGTGTCAGTGCCATTTCATTCTCTGCCCATGCTTTATGTACATATACTGCAGGAGTTGATGGTATGGTTTGCCAAATTGATTCCATGACAGGAAACATATTAAGGAAGTTTCAGGCTTCTACAAAGACAATTTCCTCAATTGTCATCTCGCCAGGTATATATTTTTGATGAGTTCAATGTAACAATTTTTTATTGATTAAGGAAGTGAATGTTGTACAGGAGAAAATGTTTTTTTTTTTTTTATGTTGGTTGTGCATCTGTTGCTGCCTAGTATGGAGCTTTGAGGATGTGGAAGTAGGAAACTTCTCTGTTTTGAGTGGTTTCATTCTAATGCTAACTACAATTTTCGCAGATCAGGTATCAATGTTTCCAGAGCTGTCCCAATTAAAAAATCAGTCTAAAAATGGTATAGAACTTGGGAAGATGGGGTACTCCATCTGTCCATCAGTTATTTGGTCAAATAGTGCATTGAGTTTAGTGAAATTGAGATCTGATCAAATTATGCCAGATATTTTGTCTAATTGGACACCTCTAACCCCTATTAAAGCAATTTGCTTGCTAATCAATTACTAAGCACACTATATGTTCTTTGACTAAATCCAATACATGTTGCTTTGTTTTGTTAATGCTTCTATCTGACACTTTTTTAGCAAGAGCATGTTTTGGGGCTGTTTGCCATTATGCATGACTTTGTTTTTTGAAACAAAAACAACTGCCATGTGTTTCTGTTTTGAAAAACAATGTCATGCATATTGGTGAATAGCCCGTTTGTTTATAGATGCTTATGCCACTCATGATGGTTATTCATTTTTACCAGATGGAACAACCCTAGCAACTGCAGCTGGTCAGATGAAGATTTTCAATTGCTCAGACAATAATAAAATACACAAGTTTTTTGGCCACCCTGTGAGTGTAAAGTAGTTGCTATTTAATCTTTTGTTCCGTGCTTCAAAATTTCTTTCACTGCCTGTTCCTTGTCAATTTAAGCAAGTTATCTTCTGCCGAATAGGGGGCTGTTCGTTGTATGGTCTTCAGTGAAGATGGGAAGTACATCCTTTCTTCTTCTGTTGGTGAGAGAGATCTTGCAGTATGGAGATTAGGTGGAAGCAAAAAAAAGTCTGCCAGCTGTGTGCTTGCAATGGACCATCCTGCTGTTTTTCTTGATTGCAAGTGCAGGGAAAATTAAAGTACATATGATGTTGGTCTATATATTCTGGCTGTTTTAGAAACCGGTCTGTGCCATTTTTGGTATGGAAAAAATATTGAGGAATTAGGCAATATTTGCTTCTCAAACCCACGATAATCTCATTATCAAATGAGGCTCAGATTACAAAGAATGATGTAGACATAAAGTTGAGTAGTTATCAAGATGTGGTTCTTCTGCCAATGATGCTTTTAGGCATCAAACCAAGTCTTCGCAACTATTTATGGCCATTTGTGAATGTTTTTCTTCTGACAAATTTGAAATTTAACACTTTAACAGCAATGCTTTGTGCAATCTGATTGAGAGTAGTTGCAACATATTCATCTAATACTGTCTTGAGAATTTCTCCTACTGTCCTTTGGGATCTACTAAGGTTTACTGTGTGAAAGCCTTGGTTTATTCGGATATGGAACTTCGCTATATCCTTCCTTATATCATACACCTACAACACGCCAAAATGGTTTAGGAACAAGACCATATCCACTCCGGACTCTTCACCCATTTTTTTGGGTCTCCGGCATAAGAAATCCTAGCGAAGGGTCATTTTTTGTTGCAATGGTAAACCTTTGGGCTGATAAACATGAGAATGCAGGCTTATGTCTGAGAGAGGCCACTTTGTGTAAAAAATGCCAAAAGCTAAGTTCTTATCCAGTCCACCCCTCCAACAATCGTGTGTAGAAGGGGTCAGTGGTGGGTATACTCCTTTTAGTCATAATAAGTCCTAGTTAAATAAGCCTAGTTGGATGATGACATCAACCACTAACCATCTAAGTTCTATTGTCTTGTGGACAATTTCCCAAATTATATCTAACCTTCCTAAGTAATGCCATAAATCAGATGTTGCAAAAATCTGAATGTTATTCTGGGATGGCTTTTCAGCCAGGATGTCTTTATTTTGGAACTATTGAATAATGTGGGTCCAGAATCTGCTTGACTATGAACTATGGGTATTGGTCTGTTAATGGGTTGGGCAGACATGACAGACCCTAACTGATGTAGCAGCGTGGGGGTCCTAATATTTTAAGATCTGGTTGTGGGTTTATGGGGTGAGTGAGGGGCTGTGGGTGATTAAATATTGAAGAATCTGGATGGAAAAGCAAGTACAATGCTTGCTGTCCACCAAGGAATGACCGAGGAATCACATGAGAGAAAGCTCTTGCTATTAGGGTAGATGGCAATGAGAGGTCACTCGGAAAAAGAATTAGAAAACTGAATTCTCCATGGATTCTTTCCTCGCTTGCACATCTACATCGCGAATTGGTTATAGATATAATTGCATATATATATTGATATAATTGTGTGTATATATATATATATTGATAAAAAAAGATATAATTGTATATATAATTATATGTATATATTGGCAGATAACAAAGATGCCCCAGTCTGATACCTATTTTTCTCCTTGTATACTTGTAGCTGTCAAGACATGCAAATCCAGTTAAGATGGGTGAGGAGGTTTGCTAATGGTTTGGCGGATGGCTTAACTAAACAAGGGGTGAATAGACATAATTTGTTTGGGGCTCGGTGTTAGCTGGGTAGTGGGGCTCTCTGTTGTATTGGGTGTTATCTCTAACAACTTGTTGTTGTACTATTCTCTTTTTAAGTTCTAGTAAATCTCCAATTGTGTCAATTTAACAAATAAGTAGGTTTATTTGTTAAAAAAAGACTTATCAAAAAATATTATCATATAATTATCTCCAATTGTGTCAATTTAACAAATAAGTAGGTTTACTGTCAAATTTCATGTTCAATGAATAGCTATCAATTATAATAGGGTGTTATTGGGTCAGACCTGATAGTGCCGATTGCAGACCTTATGGGATCTGGTTCAGAACTGGTTATGCACATTTACTTATTGGTTTGAGTCTGTGTCTACTGTCCACTAGGGGTGCAACTTGGGCGGGTTTGGTTGAAGCTCAACCCTGAAGGTGCAAGGCTTGGGCCTGGCTGAACCTGAGGTTTTGCTCAAGTTTATCAATCCAGGCTCAAGTTGGTTGATCTTGGGCGGGGCCAGGCCAAATTGGTTTGGGTTGGTCTCGGGTTTGAGCTGGGCCAGGCCAAGTTGGTTGATCTTGGGCGGGTTGGTTGGGTTTGGAAGAATTTATGTATATATTTTTATATAATCATCTTTTATTGGGCTTTATGGCCCAGTTTAAGAGTAGACTTGATTGAAAACATGTACAATTTTCATTTACAAATGTACATATACATATATACGTGTACATTGTTTTGGCGTTTTTTGAATTTTTTATTTTTAACATTTTCATTTTTGTATTTTTGCGCCTTGCTTAAAAAATCCCTACTGGATAAAGAGCTATGGGAAGTTGTGAGCTGTATCCCTACTGGAATAAACTCCCTTCTCTTGATGTAGTCAAATTATAATGTTTGCTTGGTTCTTGGTGTGGATCTGATATTTGGAGATGATTGAGGCTAACTTGGACAGTCCTAATAGAAATAATGGACTAACCTCTACATGATCCTGTTACATAACCATAAGAAGTCCAATAGGGTGCAGATAGTTTTCCTTTCCAACTCCTACTTACACCCTGTCAATTACTGAGTAGGTCTTAAACAATTCTAGAAAACCAATCAAGAATCTACTTGAGTAATGAAAAGAAAAGATAAATCTCTGAACTAGAAACTATGCCATTGGACCTGTAAGCTTCTTATAGGATTTTGTTTCCATGCCATATTACACTGTGTTCTTTCATTATGTCAAACTTGTTGATGTTTTGATTTCAATAACATACCTGAGCAGCCAACAGATGAGTAGATGTTATTACCTACTTTCATCTGGTTCACAATCTTATTGTCCATGAAATGTAACATAGCTTTTCAGTTGCCTTTTCTGTGCGAATTGTTATCTTGCTGGTTATCTGGAGCTTTACAATCTTTATTATGAGAAATAGTAGGTTCCCTGGTGTGATTTCTTCTAATATTTGACTTCCATTTTCTTTTTAAATATATCTTTGCAGTCTATTTAAAACAGTTTCTCATTTATGGAGCATGCAATGATAGTTGGGCTTTGTTAGGGAATAAAACCTATTCAAGGACCTCGTTTAACAGCTTAAGCTTTTATGTTGAATGGTTCTTTGAGATGATATCAGAGCCACTTTGACCAGTGGTCTAGTGTTCGATTCTCGTCACCCCCATTATAATAAATTAAGTTTCAGCACAAGGTATGGGTGGGCCTGTGCTGTCCACGCTTCAAGCCCAATGGAGTTTCGTGTGAGGGAGCATGTTAGAGAATAAAACCCATTCAAGGACCTCACTTAACAGCTTAATCTGTGCGTTGTGTGCAATTATTTACTTGTTTATTTGTTTTATTTATTTATTTTTTTCTGAAACCATATCTGATGAGACTATCTGTGCGTTTTGGGGGCGCCTCTCCCATGCCTTTTAAAACACTGGTTCTAAGTTCTAACCCATTAGATTAGAGGTGCTCTGTGTCTGTGAAGAGGCAGAGGTTAGTGAAAAATAGTTTTTTCCTTCATTCTCCCTTGAGTGCCTTTTTTATGCTGTATTTGTCCGATACACTCTGGACTTTGAGTTTTGCTTGTCACTGATGTACTATATGGGGATTCTTTTGCCTTTCACCAACTGGTGTATAACTTTGCACTGATTAAAAAATTAAAAATATTATGACTCTGCAAATGGTTGTATTAGTTGGACCATCCTAACTATTGATTTGTCATTTGCAGTTCAAAATTAACCCATTTTGCACAGAAGTGAACCCGAGAAGAGTAATTCATTGGCTACTTTCTCATCAGCTCCCTCACTGTATGGTTTACTTCTTATAGCAATCATCTATTAATATTAGTCAAGCAATATTTTTCAAGCTTTTCTGTCTTGGACTACAAATGGTATTTCTATATTTTTTGTACCATTCTCTGATCATCAAGTGGGAAATATTTTTGTTTTGTTATTTTTTTTGGACAAATTGATATCAGTTGAATGGTAGTTTTTGTAATTTATGTGAGAATTTGTAAATGTGCGAGAAAATGCTATCATTCATTGTTGCCTTAACTTATTTTTGGGCATCTTTGCTTTTTTCTCGGAAAAAGAGAAATCTGAAATTTCAAAAGCATCTTTTTAATATACTGTCTCATTGATTCTGATCATTTAATTTTTCTATTTTCTTCTTAGGTAAAGATCCATTAATTGAGTACGTAAAATGGTTGCTACTCGTTCAGGCTGTGTAAAATGACTCTGGATCTTCTATCCAAACACTGTTCCCACATCCATACCCACATGACAATAACGCCTTATACTGGGAACCAGAAGAAGAAGAAGAAGAAATTCCCATGCATGTAGTGTTCTGTGGGTATACCCACATGTGGGAACAGTTAGTAGGTAGGTAGGTAGGAGATCCGAGCTCATGTGAAATGGAAATGAACAGCTAAAAACTGTTATCTCCCATCTTAATGGTTTGTTTGTCAAATAAAAAACTTGTCTTGGGTCTATGTGGAACGTGAGGGTTGAGTTTATAACTTGCCACGTGTCCCCAAACTTTCCATAACTTCAACCATTAAGGACCCGCTATTAACCCTATCAAATTTGTTCACTAGAAGGCAAAGCGATAGGCTTTTCAGCTCAGCTACTTGGTTGTTATCAAAAGGCCTCTAACTGAGCTTAAACATGATGGATGGCATTTCCATGGTAGACAACTCTTGTTTAATTCTTAAAAAAGAATACTTGAGCGCGAGGGTCAATAAGACTCCTCTGATGATCTGATCACACCATTCTGGAGCATCAGTATCCATCTGATGCTGGTCTTTGCTTTCTGCAATATGCAGTGGTTAAAACATCAAAACATATCCTGATATGTTTGGATTGGATACAGGTCCTATACACAGACAACAGATTTTTTAAAACATTTAATAGATCTCAATTGTCTTCTCCAACCCAACCCTGCAACCCATATGGGGATCAATCCATATTCTGATCTTTATTGGCAACATGTGATGTAGCCCCTTGTTTGGCCTCTATTTTCTTACACAAAACTGTGAGCCATCGACATAAAGAATATATACAATCTGGAAGCTAATCCTACTCCTACCTGTTTCCTCTTTGAAGTTCTGAACATGATGAAAACAACGAAAAACAAGGACAGACTACAGAGGAAGATATTTTCCAAAGAAGTGGAAGTTGAGGTCGTCTGTATTGTACAAAACAAGTACAATAATAATACATAGCTTTATAAGATTCTCCCTTAATAAATGAACACCAGGTAGCATATTTTAGTAGTGGAATGCAGGATCAATTCTTCCTGCATTTACAAGCTAAGAATCTCATTCTACTTTCAAGCGACATTCTGATACGTTTATTACCTTACTGCCATCCACACTAATAACTAAGTATTATTGTATGCCTAATCGGATTCCTTCACCTCACCTGCTCATCATCATAGATAGACTCTCTTTACACGCAAAAGAAAGGAAAGGAAAAGAAAAGAAAAGAGAGTCCATTTCCTACTAACCTCAGTTTCCATTGCTCTTAGAGTCTACACTATTCGGCATGCATTCGGGTTCTCGTCACTAAACATTGATGTAATGTTGTTCCCCGCTGTGTTACCTCGGCTCTGATAATCCTCACCGTAGTGCTCGACCCTACTGTAACGGGTGTGTCGAGGGGGTGACCTTACGTATTCGTATTCAGTGATGTAAGGGGATGGTTTGTAGGTGTTATAGCTGTGGGTCACATAAACGGGTGCCTCGTGCCGAAACCCATATCCATTAGGATAACCGTTCCAATGCCCATCATAACCGTATCCATACCCATACCCGTAGTCATGTGGATGGTGGTGTATTACATGGATCTCTTCTACGTCTTTGGTCTCGGAAGGTTGCACTTGCACCGGCTGTTGTGCTTCAGCAGCGTCGGTAGCTACGGCTGATGGTGCCACCTCCGGAGTTGGAGTTGGATTCTCAGGCGGTGGTGAGTCTTTGGGAGGCTCCGTCGGTGGGGCAGCTTCTGTGGGTGGGGACTGATCTTCCGGTGGAGGGTTCTGGGCGTCGGCCGGTGCTGGTTCCGTGGGTTGAGCAGGTGGGTCGGTGGGTTCTGAGTGTGCACAGATGGTGGCGATCTTTCTTGTCTTCTTGATGGCTTTGACAATCTTTTCGGGATCAGCCCACCCTACAACTGTAATTTTTTGTTGAGGGAAATCAATGTAGTGCTCGTATATACCTGCACAGAATTGAAAACATGAACTCACGACTAGGCTGGAATTCAACATGCACTAAGGAAAAAAAAAAGGAATTAAAACTAAAAAGCAAATATATCAATACTTTCATCATAAACCATTTACCATTTATTCCCTGCAATGCCTTCTTGATCTTGTGAATGCACCCATTACAGTCCATACGGACCTGTATCTCTATGATTCGAGGTTTCTGCATTTCCAATAACTCAATGAATTAGAGACGAGTTATGAAGAAATTGAATGTACGTTAATTAATTAGTAGAAGAATGTAGAGCAGACAAGAATTGAGAGGCATACCTCTAATTCAGGAACCATGAGTGGGGGATGAATAGAGAAGAGAGAGAGATTTTCGTTTCAAAATTGTTTTTCCTTTGGAGGGAGGGGATTTGAAGGAAAGAAGATGGGATTTTGTATGGGAATTGGAAGGTGGAGGAGTGTGTGAGTGAAGAATCAGAGGACTGGATGGCATTCATTTGTACATGGGAGGGGAATATTTGTAAGGCGAAAGGTGTACGTGATGTAAGGAATCTATCTAATTGGTAATGGGGAGGGACGAAGAGAGTGACAGAATGGAGGGAAGCTAGGAAGAGGGGAGGTGTCCTTGTCATATCTCAGAGGGAGGAGTAAGCTAAAAAGAGGTCGGTGTATTTGTTTGGACTATGGAATACTGAGCCAAAGGGAATCTCCCTTTTGCAATGGATGGTCATCTTACCATCTACGTTCTATAATTGAGATGGGTTTATGTGAGTGTGAGGTCAGAGGCTCAGAATATCCAAAAGCCGACCAAAAGATTAAAAATAAAAACTTAAAGTGAGAGAAATCATGGCTTATCTCTCATCTGGGTCAAAAAAACCAAAGTAGCTTTAGTGCAAGGATATCCACTCTCTGAGCATCCCTTCCTTACAAGAAAGAATTTTTTGACATGATAACCAGAGAGATGTGGCTAATGGGTTCCCTGAGTTAGATATCATTGCAGGGTTTCAATGGACATAACCCTCTTTCAGTTCTTTTTCTTTCTGTCATAAAAGGTTGACGAGACTTGGATGCCGGCCTCTGGGTTAGAGAATTGAGACTTTTAGAGGGGGGCTCACTAGTCACTACACACTAGCTGATGTAATCAGGGAAAAGAGTGATAGTGCCACCGATGATTGATCGTGTCGTGATCAATCAAAACTATGACACTCACCATGCAAACTCGCCGTGGTTTGCTTTTTGGTCATCAGGATACCAGGCTTTCTGAGTTTATTGAGAAAATTCGGCTAAGTCAAATGATCGTAAGTATTCCATTTCCATACCTATAAAACGGACCGGCTGTGAATGGGTCGGTTATGACCCAATGGATCCAAACCAATTGGACCAGCTTTGATTCCAGGAACTGATACCGTGGGTTGGTTCCATTTCCTCCCTATTATTCACTTAAAACCGGTTTTATCTAGTCGAGCTGATTCATATTGAACTTGAGCCATACATATATATTAAATATATAATATTTTTAGTAGGTTTATTATAATTGGATCATCGGATCAGATTCATTGTTCCAAGAATGGAATAATTCAGTTTTGGGTAGGGTCTGGTTTAATTCTGGTTCCTTAATATTTTTTGTTGGATCGGTTCTGGGCCTTCGGTTCTGGATCTTCTGATCCTACGCTGATTTGAAACGGGAAACCGCTGAAGAAACTAACATGGGTTGCAGTTATTCCATCTCTACCTGTACCTGACTGACATGGATCCTAATTTAAACTTGATCTACAGGGCTCCATCATCAGTAATCCGAACATCTAAAATCGGGTCGGGTCGTGTAGTTTCCAGTTTCCAGGTCAACACTTCTCAACCACTTTCTGCGGAAGAACCAGTTAGCCCGCCCATTGTTTCACTTTTCTTGTGTTTGGAAGCGTGGGTACTTTTTGGACCGATTTTCAAGAAAAAAGATCCATGCTTTCGAGACCCATTTTTCTCGTTTTTCACAAAAAAGCGCTTCTGTCATGTAGGCAGTGAGCAATACTATGCTGTTTGATAAGGTGATTTTCATCACCGTTTTTCATTATGTGCTGACAGGTAAACACTATATAGGATACACATCAATCAACCGTTGGGGGAAATGGTTCGCTGATGCATACATCGGTGGAGTCCCGATTTTTAAGACATGTCCAAGTTTTTAATAATCGGCTAAACCAAACAATAAGATACATAAACATTTGTTAAAATGCCTATATAAATACGACGTAACACCATTTTTTAAAAAAATGGCCACGATTCCAAACATCCCCTAATTTATTGAGACCACTGTTCTGGGTTCATGGAGTGCTGAGTCTCCAACAACTTACGTAAGCTAAATTGCTACTTCCATTTTGGACAAAACTAGTAGTGTGTTAAATCGTCTTTTCATAGTTAAAAAGTGTCCAAACCGATCAAGGTCCTTTGGTCACAGAAAGATGAAAGATACCCACTAATGAGCTGTGAGCCATTTAATTCATCTTACGCGGTGGTCGCTACTCGCTACAATTCTCAATAATTCTGTTCCATTATGAGCGGAACATGCCCATGTACTCCTCTAACTCCATGGACCTGACCCCACCACCATATAAGTCTGTTCGACCAAGTTAGATCCAATTTGCTCGGGTCATCCTGGTCAGAGACGAGACCGGTCGTCAATCTGGCAAAACAAAAAAAAACTGTCAAAAGTTTATCCAACCCACGTACCTGACCCCATCAAACCGAAAAATAGGGTATGATTCTACTATCTAGTGACCCAAATCAGAAGACATGCCCCACCCGAAAGAATTCGGTCCAGGTTGTCACGGGAAACCTATTTTCAAATCAACGTTTTGAGCCTATGTTGACCCGAATTATCAAACAATTTAAATAATTTGAACCGGATGATTAAACCGATATTCTTGATAAATAATTGTTGACTTGATCAAAGATCAGCTGAGCCAGGCAATTGAATCATTGATCTCTCTGACATATGAATCAACTCTAAACTGAATATATAGGGTTAGGCTCTAACCTTTATCAGCCCAACCCAAAAAGGCCTCGACCCGACTCGATTGGCGGGTCTTGCAAAATATGATATCTAGCCCGACTCACTGCGAGCGGTTCTACGGTTGGCTGGTTCTATTGGCTGATCAATCATTAGTTGTGAGATTGTTTGTTTCACATGATTACGTCTGTGAGGAAACTTGCCAACTTTAGTTTCTTGCCGTGTTGGCTTGGCATACTCCTGCTATGTTTTCACTTTTCATGCATCCTCAATTTTAATTCAGAAAGTGCCAAAAAAAATTAATTCAGAAAGCCGAACCACTTTTGAGACTCAGCTGCTTAACACTTAGGTAGGTATTTGTCATGGGTGCTGGGAATATTGTATTTTTTTTCTGAGAAAGAGGGTGTTGGATATATAAAATTGTAAGCATTGGTGTTTATTTTTTCTTTGAAATCAGTGTTGTCATATATGTTATTTTTTGATAAAATAATGCTGGTTTTATTTAGTATTAGTGGTGGCAGTAATATTTTTAACATACTCTATATTATCCAACATCCAAGATGACGTAACATCATTGTACCGTTTTTTCAGAAAATATTGAATTTGACCTTATTCTAAACCATACTTTCTCAATTTCTATGAGATCGTCTGGAACAATGTTTTTGTCTAGAAAAACTATACCAAACAAGAAGAATCTGATGTAACATTTATGTTGTGCTGTTTTCTCAAAAAACAATATTGATGCTAAACACCAGTGTTATGAGGAGACTCGGTGCCACACAGCTATTATGAGGAGACTTAGTACCCTCCCAAACGAGTGGTTCGTTGGAATGTTAATTGATTCGTTTCACCATTAACATAAAATTGATTTCTGCCACCACCGGTTTGGGAAAGGGAGGGCTATTAGTGATGGATGCGGCACCAATACCCAAAAAAAAAAAAAAAGAAAAATACTTAAGCTTCAACTTTCAGCCTGGTTCATTGGCTTAATGATAAGTCGGACATACAAGCCTAACAAACCCAGCCAAGAAATGTATAGACCTTATTGCTCAGACCCAAGACCATCTCGCTTTAATAACCTAACCAATCAGGCAATCACTAATTATGCTGAAAAAAAGTACGTAAATTGATTAGATAATTTATTCTAGTGGTCTATATATATAAATATTATTGAATATATTTGAACTATAAAATTGTAGATTTTAATTATTTTATTTTTAAAATTTTAAATAAAATAAAAAATAATCAACATTATAAAAAATCACAAAAGTTGAGGATGAAGATAACTTTATTCCTATTGGCAAAAACTAAGATGGAGATAGGGATGATGATTTTCACAGGGACGGAAATGAGAAGTGGCTCCTCTTCTCATTCCCGCCCTGCACCGTTGCCATTTCTTAGTTTTAGATTTGTAAGCCCCAGTTGTATAGAACTTCTATAGCATATGAATCACGATTAACCATCGAAGTAACTTTTGCATGATGTCTGGATTCCTAAAAACAGAAAAAACAAAAAACCTTAATTAGGGGGTGTTGGTTTAATCAATTACCAATCTCACGAACAGTTTCCTATTTTATTTGTCATAGTAGTTATTTATTAACATGACAAAATATATACCAACTAGCTGGCCCAGATATTATTTTTTGTCAATCACTGTATGATTGAGCAGAAACGTCGCAGCTAGGGTTCACTTATTACCAAGCCAACGATACAGTACTGCAGTGCCTGTCACTGTTGAATACACCAGTGGTCACTGTGGGCTTATCTGGGATTCAGCTGTACTAAATACTGACGCGTCCAACAGTGATAGATGATTCAGCCGTGTATGTTTTTATCTCCAGCTAATCCGAACAAAATTAAACCAAAAAGGTTACTAGCATTAGACAAAGTAGTACTCTACCAACAAAGTTGAAAAAGAACTTCCAAAGCATAAATATCAAGGTGCATGTCTCTTTATCGAACACCTTAGCTGTGGGGACCGGACATGCAAATTCGTTGTTAAAAACTGGTGAATGTGAAACTCACGTCTCCTAAGTGAAATCAGACTTGGTCCACTGGACCATCTTCACACCGTCCACAGTCATTTGCAGCCGTTTATTAAGAATATTTTCTTATGAAAAATAAAAAACTATGGAGATACTTTTCATGACTTTCAAAACCAAACTGGACCAGGCGGTTGGACCAGAAAACTGGAAACAGGTCAGGTAACTGATTCCATTTTACCCCAGAACTGTTTGAACCATTTGAACCATCTAACACTTTGGCCGTTTTTTATTATTTTTTTTAAGATTTTAAATTTTTTTGTTAGAACTGGCCATCTGTTCAGTACCATTCGACCTGGAAACTGAACCCCTAACCGGTTTGTTGTTCGATTTTGATGATGCACAATCCGGTCGATCTTATCTGTCAATGATCTTGCCTCTGAACTGAGTGGCAGGGGACCTGAAACGGATGGGGTGAAGAAGCTCTGGGGAGAACCCGGCATAAGGGCTCCGAAACTCAAGTTAGAGTATTTCAAAGGCAAGATAAGCCAGATAGCGCAAAAGTTAGCATACCTTGTTCTTGGGGGGTAGGGAGCCTTTTATAACCACCTCSCGCACTCACTTCC